AGGATGATTCTAAGGCAAGAAAAGAATACTTCATTTCCACACCACATAAACCAGTCTAGAGAGTAAAAAAAATATATGAAAAAGTTGGCAGCTAATTTTGACACCAAAGCTAGAAAACACAATACAAATTAAAATGCAGGCTAATATCACTTGATGAACAGGCCAGAGCAGAGGGAACCTTCCAGGTTTTGTCATTGGTCTGGATTTGGCAAAGGCTAAGACATAGAACATGTGACTTGGGGAGCGAGTGAAGCATGAAAGGAACTTCTGGGGATATGAACCTGGGCAGTTTATCCTCCTGTGTTTCCAACGCTGATTTTCTAGCAAAATGAAAATAATTAATAATAATAGTGACGATGATAACTCCACAAGTTTGGAGATCATTACCCCGTCCTCACAGAGTCATACGTGAATGTTGGGCCCCTAACAAAGAAGGAATTGTCCAAACACAAATATGTTTTTCCATTAAGCAGGCAGATTCAGACCTTGAACTCAACCTAGAGTCCATATTACAGCAAATCATTTGCAGATGTCTGTGAGTCGGGGATGTGCCTAGGAAGGAGTGATGACAGTCTTCTCTGGGATGCATCACCTAGTTGGGCTCATCCAGTGACATTCTAGGCCTCCAGGTATGGCCTCAGAGCTGGGAGTTGTCCTGGCAGGGCTGCAGCACACAGCAGCTGCCTGGAGAGCAGATTCAGAGCACAGCTGTTTGGCTCAGAGAGCGGCAGATAGGAAGAACCCTCTGCCTGCCGCCAAAGTCAGCTGGGATATCTGCTAGCCTTGCAGATATCAGGTCTCTATTAAATATGTAATTTAAGGGCTAAATTGAAAACTGAAACGAACCCACAATTTTTTGGAACAGTCTTCAAACATTCCAATCGTAGCCGTGCTTGTTTTAATACAGCCAGCCATCTTCTGAGGCTCAAGAGGAATTTCCTCCGAACAGGAAAAGTCTGAAAGGGAGTTCTTCAAAGCTCCTTGGGGAAAACTCTGTTTGCTAGCAGGAAAGGCAAGTTCAAGACGCCTGAGAGACCACACTGATGAAAAAATACTCTCACCTGTCAGGGCAAGGGGAGGTCATCTTGAGTCGCAGTTTGAGTTAAAACTCCTGCTCAAAACTCAAAGAGCAAGAGGACCATTAAAGACATCACCTTGCGCAGCAAGAACCCAAGAACACACATCCACACACAGAATTCGTTACATGCGTGTGCATGTATGTTAGTGCAGGGGTGATGTCCAAAATAGTTCACTGCTATCACGGCATAGGATGATCACGGCATAGGATGACCACGCCTCCTGGTTTGTCTGGAACGAAAGGGGTTTCCTGGGACATGGGCCTTTCAGTGCTAAAACTGGGACCGGCCACGGGGGGTTAAATCACCCTGTGTCAGGGCGCTAACCACCCGGAACAGATGCCTGCTCTACACAACCCATGTGGCCTTACTGGTGCCATATCTGACTTCTCATCCTCAGGATCTGAGGATCTGAGCTTTGGGCATCGTGCAGTCCTGTGTTCAGTTCCCCAGATTTCTCATGCTTTCTCCTGCCTCCGTGCCTTTGCACAAACTCTTCCCTCCACCTAGAAAATCCCTGTAACTTCCTGCAAGAAGACTTCGTCACCCTTCAAAAACAGAATGGGCCCATCTCTGAAGATTTTCCCTAGGACTCTAGACTTTCTCCTATATTCAGAATGTGAGGGAAAAGGGGAAGCAGAAAGAATTCCACGGAAGCAAGTTTGCTCCTCTCAGTTCACTCATCAACAAGGAAGCATCGGTGAACATCTCTCCAAATGCCCACTCCCCAAATCCTGAATCAAAATCTCTTCATCATAGTCGGTAACATTCTCCAGGGAGCCACTAAAAGCTATTATGGGCTTCTGTTCCTGCTGCCAGGGCCTGAGGCAGGGTAGAAAAGAATCTGAACCTGATGATTTGAGGACCAGTAATGAAGACCCGCTGTTTCTGCAGGTCTGGGCTGCAGCCCTGCTCATAAGAAAAATCGTTTTCATTCAGATTAGATTAGGTCACGTTGTCTCTGAGCAAACAGTTGGCGTATGTCCTTGAGAGATGCAGTCAGTTATGAAGGCTCCAGTGACCAGAGCCCTCCCGGGGTCGGAGGACTGAGCCAGACCTGGAAGGACTTGGTGGCCCCTCCCCTGTGCCCAAGGCCCCGCCCTCCCAAGGCCAACTAGAGTCTGCAGGCTCCGGGCAAGAAGCAGAGGTGAACACTGTCCTTCTGGGGAAGGGCGCGGGCAAGAAGCAGAGGTGAACACTGTCCTTCTGGGGAAGGGCGCAGACGCAGATGTTCCTGCAGCCACAGGAAGAAGGTAGGGGTGTGACCTGACGATAGAACCAGGTCAGGGTTGGGGGAAGGCCCACAGGGACTGGAGCAATTAGGGTCCCAGCAGGAAACAAATGGCCCAGGCAGAGAAGGGAAATTCAGGAGAGTTTAATAAAAGGTCTGTTTACAAAGTCGTGGGCAGGGCATAGGGAAACCAGAGACTGAGTGCGACTCCCTGGGCGGGCCAGGCAGGTGTTACCACCCTTGGGTGAAGGGAGGGTGCGGTTACCAGAACACAGAGACAAAGCGCTGAGTGAAGGGAGACAGCCACGCTACAGGGGGTGACACCAGACACCTGGTCGCACAAAGCAGAGTGGAGAAACGCAGGGAAGGTCTGCGGGGCAAACCGAAGGTGTCTGGCACGTGGACACACAGGGTGAAAGCCTGGGTCTGTGGTCCTTTCCTTCAAAGGTACAGAGGAAGTTGCAAACTACTTAGAACTTGAATCTTGGTCCTTTTCTTAAAATTTTATTTATTTATTTATTTTTCCCATGGGGCACGCGGGCCATCCCAGTTCCCCAGCCAGGGATCGAACCCGTGCCCCCTGCACTGGGAGCGTGGAGTCTTAACCACTGGACCACCCAGAATCTTGGTACTTTTAATCTCTGTTAAAAAGCATCAGAGAGACCGCCAAGGTGAATATCCTGGCTCTACCGGGAACTAACCGTGTCACCCGCGGCAGGTTCTCCCCCTCTCTAAGACCTGGCTCACCCACCTATCAATAGGCACAATAATAATACTTATTCAAGACTGGTTGAGATTCAGCAAAGCATCCCCCATAGTGAACGGTGCTTAATCAATGTTAACAATAATTTTCCGGTTATCGCTGTGACTGTGTTTTGATAAATATTCCATATGCTGTGTCATCTGATGTTTTCCTATTGAAAAGGCTAAAGGGCCAAGGGAACAAGGAGGAAAGTAACAGAGGCTTCTCTGTCCCGTTCCCTCTGGCACCAAGAGAAAGAGGAGTGGCTGGGTCACCGGATGTGCTAAGACACAGAGGCCATCGAGGCAGGCGAGAGGCCCAGAATGTCAGGCACCAGAGGGGATATTTGCAGAGGCTTTGTAAGGCCCAGCTTTCCAACTGGTTCTCGTAGGTTCAAGTATCCACCCCCAGGAAAGGGCTGGGAGGCTCATACATCCCTGTTATACTTAAAAAGGGAAATAGGGGCTTCCCTGGTGGCAAAGTGGCTGAGAGTCCACCTGCCGACGCAGGGGACACGGGCTCAAGCCCTGGTCTGGGAAGATCTCATATGCTGCGGAGCAACTAAGCCCATGCGCCACAACTACCGAGCCTGCGCTCTAGAGCCCGCAAGCCACAAGTACTGAACCCTTGTGCCACAACTACTGAAGCCCATGTGCCTAGAGCCTGTGCTCCTCAACAAGACAAGCCACCACAATGAGAAGCCTGAGCACCACAACAAAGAGTAGCCCCTGCTCACCGCAACTAGAGAAAGCCCGCATGCAGCAATGAAGACCCAATGCAGCCAAAAATAAAATAAACAAATAAATTTATTAAAAAAAAAAACAAGTGAGATAGGCAGGAAGGGCGTGACTATCTGCACTAAACTAAATCAGGAAACAAAAAGAGGGGAACATTTATAACCTGCCCTAAGACACATTTCAGTGATGATGCCAGGGATAGTATCACGTATTTCAATCTCTTCCCTCCAGTAGGAAAGATGATATTAACATAAATCATAGCAATGCAAGATGTATGTGCTACCAGTCAAATGGGTGACAAGAGCCAAAATGTAATAAGAGCTTGTAAAAAGTGAGAGCAGTTGGAAGTGTATTGGGGAAAAAGGAGGAAGATACAAGGAAGATTTCCTGGAGAAGAAGAAAAGGTGGTCCTGAGCTGGGCCTTGGAGCACACATAGGAGTTTGAATGGGTGGAGGTTGACTGAAGACACTGCTGGCTTACATAGCAGCAAGAGCCACAACTTGGAAAATAAAAGCAGAGTCAGGGAACGTTGGGTAGTCCAGTTTGAGTGGAAAATATTCCCTCATGTTTAGTTGAGCAGTAATGGGCAATGGGTTTGAATACAGATATCAGTAAAAGAATCTGGTCTCTATTCAGTAGGTGGTTGAGAAAAACCAGCAAATTTTTCTGAAAGGATTTTCGTCATCAATGTGGTGCTTTAATGACACTATTATGGCAGTACCGTATGGGGAAAAAGTAAAAGGATTGGTAATGGGAGTAGAAAAGCTAGTTAAAAGACGATTGAAACAGACCAAGTGTAAGATAACGAATGTCTATATCAGAGGTTCTCAAACAGGAGGTGTTTTGTTCCCCAGGAGATATCTGCAATGTCTGGGGACATTTTTGGTTGTCACACAGTGTGGAGCACTCTGGCTTCCATTGGGTGGGGACCACGGGTGCAGCTGAACATCGCACAATGCACAGAACACCCTACAACAAAGAGCCATCTCTCCCACAATGCCAGTGGTGACAAGGCTGAGAAAACCTGGTCTGAATCAAGGTAGGGGCAGTGAAAATAGAAGCAAATGACAGATAACAGAATTATTTTCATGGAAGACGTTATAGGATTTGATGATGAACTGAGTCTGGAGGCAACAGAGAGGGAGCAGGTGGTTTGTAACTTTATGATTGTTAAAATTATAATAGCAAAATCAAAAATGTTTTAAGAGGGAATTCCCTGGCAGTCCAGTGGTCAGGACTCCATTCTTTCACTGTGGAGGCCCAGGTTCCATCCCTGGCTGGGGAACTAAGATCCCACAAGCCACGTGGCCAAAAGAAATGTTTTAAGAAATTCATAGGAGAAATGTAAGACCGGACACTATAAATCTCTTAGAGGAAAACATAGGAAGAACACTCTTTGACATAAATCACAGCAGATCTTTTTTGATCCACCTCCTAGAGTAATGGAAATAAAACAAAAATAGACAAATGGAACCTAATGAAATTTCAAAGCTTTTGCATAGCAAAGGAAACCATAAACAAGACGAAAAGAGGGAGAAAATGTTTGTGAACGAATCAGCCGACAAAGGATTAATCTCCTAAATATATAAACAGCTCATGCAGCTCAATATTAAAGAAACAACGCAATCCAAAAATGGGCAGGGCTTCCCTGGTGGGGCAGTGGTTGAGAGTCCGCCTGCCGATGCAGGGGACACGGGTTCGTGCCCCGGTCCGGGAAGATCCCACGTGCCGCGGAGCGGCTGGGCCCGTGAGCCATGGCCGCTGAGCCTGCGCGTCCGGAGCCTGTGCTCCGCAACGGGAGAGGCCAGAACAGTGAGAGGCCCACGTAACGCAAAAAAATACCAAACAACAAAAATGGGCAAAAGACCTAAATAGACATTTCTCCAAAGAAAGCATACAGATGGCCAAGAAGCACATGATAAGCTGCTCAACATCACTAATTATTAGAGAAATGCAAATCAAAACTGCAATGAGGTTTCACCTCACACCAGTTAGAATTGGCATCATCAGAAAATCTACAAACAACAAATCCTGGAGAGGGTGTGGAGAGAAGGGAACCCTCTTGCACTGTTGGTGGGAATGTAAATTGATACAGCCACTATGGAGAACAGTATGGAGGTTCCTTAAAAAACTAAAAATAGAATTACCATATGACCCAGCAATTCCACTACTGGGCATATACCCAGAGAAAACCATAATTCAAAAAGACACATGCACCCCAATGTTCATTGCAGCACTATTTACAATAGCCGGGTCATGGAAGCAACCTAAATGCCCATCGACAGATGAATGGATAAAGAAGATGTGGTACATATATACAATGGAATATTACTCAGCCATAAAAATGAACAAAACTGAGTCATTTGTTGAGATGTGGATGGATCTAGAGACTGTCATGCAGAGTGAAGTAAGTCAGAAAGAGAAATACAAATATCGTATATTAACACATGTATGTGGAACCTAGAAAAATGGTACAGATGGAACCGGTTTGCAGGGCAGAAGTTGAGACACAGCTGTAGAGAACAAACATATGGACACCAAGGGGGGAAAACCGCGGTGGGGTGGGGATGGTGGTGTGCTGATTTGGGCGATTGGGATTGACATGTATACACTGATGTGTATAAAATTGATGACTAATAAGAACCTGCAGTATAAGCAAACAAACAAACAAACAACTAATACTAAACTTTCTTTGGGTTATCTGTATGGAAATGTGTTAATATAAATGTTTCAGACATTACATGAAATTTCTAAAAATCTTATATGTTCTGGTATAATGTTATAAGTCATAATTCTAGTTATTATTCTAAAATGTATATCTCATAAATAACTAAAAAAAAGAAAAGAAATTCGTAGGAGAAAGGAAGAGTGTATTGAATATGTTTTTATCTTCTCAGTACACCTTTCTTTGGAAACAACCTCCTTCTCAAACTGTAATGTGATTTGGGTGGGGAAGATCACACCCTCAACCCAGTCCAAGTGGTACTTTCCTGACCTAAGTCTAGCCAATCAGAATCCACCATAGACTCGGTCTTCCCAATGGGTCTCCAGGTGGGCATGTGACCCAAGCAGACCAATCAGAGCTCTTCCCGGAATTCTACATATCACACCTGAAGCCAGAATTAAATTAAACAAAGGCAAGCAGAGCAGAGCAAGGAGAGAGATAAGACACAGAGATAAAAGCAGAATTTAGGTGATATCATTCAAGCTCCTGGATCTGAGTGTGCCTGAAATACGAGATTTAGATTTCCCAGTTAGATTAAGCCAATACATTTCCTATTTGGCTTAAGCTAGTTTGAGTTGGATTCTTATTACACCAAATAGAAAACAGCTAATAACAAAAGGATGAGATTAGTTTTCAATGTGTTAACAGATGGAAAATTCATTAATTAGGTTATAAGTGGGGGAGCAGCTAGAATTTAAAGGACTAGGTTAGGTTTAGGAGCTATATTCTGGAAATTATTTCTTTACAGGTGACAGTTAGATGCCAGAATGGTTATGATCCTTTCGAAATAGGCCAAAGAAAAGAAATAAGACTTGGCATTTATTTTATAATTTATAATAAAATAAAAGGAATTTGAGTTACTATTTAAGAAGTCTAAATTATTAAACGGTGGTCATTCAGAAATAGTAATCCTAGTAAAAATATTGGAAACAAGTAATCTGTGAGTTATTTTGAACTATTTGTAGTTTCACCACATGAGGAATAGCTTTGAGTTTGATTCTGGCCTATCAGTGTGGTAATCATTCGTCTATTTGCTCTTAGATCTCTTTCCTCTGTGTCCCTTGCTCTGTTTGCACCACAGAGGGTTGATTTCTTCAAAACACACTGCCCAGGTTCTTTGCTAGTTGGCTTCTGGTCAGTTTGGCCAGTAAGAGTCATTGGCAGGAGTGTGGGGTATGGCAGGTAGGGAGAAGCCAGAGTTCACCTCCCCTTCTTTCCCTGCTTTGGCCAGTATTTCTGGCAGTGGCTGTGCCTCTTCCATGGCCCTGGCTTCCCCCAGGCAGGTCGACCTTGGTGGCCCCCATTCTTGCCAAGCCACCCCCTCTCTTTGTCCCTCCAGCCCTAGAGCTGCTGGCAACTTCTCACCGTTACTAGTCTCTGGCCTCACCATTTGCCGTTTGCCCTTTAACTCTTCTGACACCCTTGTAACCAGTACCTCATGTTAAATCCTTTCTATTAAACTGCCTGGTTTGGGTTCTTTTTTCCTGACTGTACTCTGACCCTTCATTGCCTAGTATTTTAGTCAGTTCAGGCTGCTACAACAAAAACACCATAGACTGAGTAGCTTAAATGACAAACATTTATTTCTTGCAGTTTCTGGAGGCTTAAGTCTAAGATCAAAGTGCCAGCATGGTCAGATTCCTGGTGAGGGCCCTCTTCCTGGTTTACAGGCAGCTGCCTTCTTGCTGTGTCCTCACCTGGTGGAGAGAGACATCCTGTCTCTCTTGTGTTTCTTATAAGACCACTAATCCCATTAATGGGGGCTCCACCCTCCTGGCCTATTTAACTCCAAAGGCCCCACTTCCAAATACCATCACCCTGGGGATTAGGGCTTCATTATGTGAATTTGGGGCAGGGGACAGCAACATTCTGTCCATAGCACTTAGTCTCCAATTCAAATCACCAGAACTGGGGTGTGAATGGGGGGGAACAAAAGGAGCCCATTGGCAAATTTTTTTTTTTTTTTTTTTTTTTTGCGGTACACAGGCCTCTCACTGCTGTGGCCTCTCCCGTTGCGGAGCACAGGCTCCAGACGCGCAGGCTCAGCGGCCATGGCTCACGGGCCCAGCCACTCCGCGGCACGTGGGATCTTCCCGGACCGGGGCACGAACCCGTGTCCCCTGCATCGGCAGGCGGACTCCCAACCACTGCGCCACCAGGGAAGCCCCCCATTGGCAATTTTTGACTTCAGTTACATAAGATGTACAAAACTATTGTGTTGCTGATGATGGATATAAAATATAGTTCACAAAGAGCATGAAATGTAAAGTCATATACGAACAAGATAAAAATGTGAAATGGCAGAGATCTAAGTTTCAGAGTTCAGAGGAGGTAGCAAGGGATGGGAATTGCAGCATCAAGAGAAGGCTGAGTGGAGGGGGGAAGACCAGGGCTGCTCTCCAGAGAGAGGATGGACCGCAGGGTGGTGGACTGCAGAGCCACAGACAGTGTCGTGCAGGGAAAGGATGGAGCACTGCCAAGCAGCAGGAATGAGCACAGGGTTTTCATGGCCGGAGGCACTGACGGGTAAATTGGTTCAAATTAGCAAGGAAAGGTCACAGTGCAGAGGGCCCTCAACAGCAGCCATGCACTGTGGGGTCTGAGGGGTCTGGCCCAGGAAAACTGACGGAGCAACGGTGTCCTTTTGATCAAGGCTGCAGCCCCTTTTTCATCTAGCTAATGGAACACAGAACAAAGATTCCGGAAGCTGGCTTTTATTCCCACTTCCTGACCCACTGTATAACCTTGAAATCTCAGATTTTAGGTCTCAGTTGCCTAATTGCAGAGGAGTCAGTAAGATGTAAGAGTCATCCAAAAATTAAGATTTCCGTTGTTTTTAGGATGGCAAAGTATTTCTCAGATATTTACTCTGCACCTAACCTTGTGCTAAACCTAAGAGTACGAGGTCAGACTTATTTTTTTCCGATGCCAAATGTACTCGTTCATAGTAAAGAAAGTGACCTGATGTTGTGTAACAGTAACCAGAAAGAAAGGGGTTTTCCCCAGCACCAAATTCTGGATTGAGTGGTCGCTCTGACCTTAAAAAACAGACTGGAAGAAATGAAGCAATGCTTTCACATATAGTCTATTACTTGCTTTTGAAAAGTGAAGGTACACATAAACCCAAGAAATAGCATGTCATGCAAAATCTGATGCTTTTCTGAGAATGAAAATGGAAAGAAACATTAATGCAAAGATTAAAAATTATCTTGGAATATATAAGTGGGTTAACTTGGCAGGTGGCTGATGAAATAAAATTCTACATCGCAATTTATATTAAGGTGAATTTGTTTTGTCGTGTGTTGTTATAATTCCCATTACAAAAGCTAGTAATCATTCTGCTGTTATCTCCACTTTTATTGTGGAGATAGGAAGGACCTGCAGAAGCAAAATCCTAGCTCTTATCCAGTACCAGGAAGGAACTGCAAATCAGAACAAACAAAAGACTTAATTATAGCCTTGACGTGAAAGCAGGAACAGCGCACGTGGAACCGAAATCTTACCCGAGGCAAATTGTTTAGAAGGTGGGGAGGAAGGAATTAAAGAAGTGAACTGCAATT